TAACATTCATGATGCAGGGTGATATGTTGTCAGAAGCCAATTAAATACTTGACCAGCATTCACTGGTGAAAAATCCTACCTGGAGTTCCATCACCACATAGTTGAAGCGATCATTCCTGCCACAGCCCACGAATCGACACACGTGATCTTTGCCTGTCAAAGAAATATATATTTATATGCATCAATAAGTGGATTGGTTGATCACTGCTGTTGTTCATGATGGACAACACCTCTATTTTGACTATGTGTGCATTTCTCAGTACTTAAAATTATTGATACTGTTACAGACACAAATATTAGGTATAAATTTTGTGTACGCAAATTCCATATACTGGTTTTAATAGTATGCATTAACTGATTTATTGAAATATTAAAACCACTGCTGGAATACTTCAGGATTAGCAGACCACCGCTACTTACGTAATAAAAAATGTATTAATTTTTATGGAATGAAACACTAACCCTTATAAAAAAATTTAAAAAACGAGCACAGAAGCTATTATAAAACAGTAAATGTCATCATTTATTTCAGGGTTCCTGCAGTGTTCAGCAAATTAAATTTAAAACTTTATAAGATTAATTTAACACCTGATAAAAGGCAAGGTCTACACTTATTCATTAAGACCTTTAATTTATTTACATTTATGTCTCATTTTGGTCTGTACTTCCCAACTGTATAGAACAATAATTCCTAATATAGCTTATCAATTAATATGTCCTGGATCCATACTAATGGCAAAAAATTGATGTATTTATCAATTTAAAAAAATTATTTCATTTAAGTTTTTCCTAAAATTGACACTTGCTGATTATGAATTGATGAGATTCATAGCAACTGTGGCTAGCAGAAATGGTCTGATAGTGCTGACTGAACCTCCACAGAAAAGAGCAGAACAGCCTCCTGCGGCACATGCACTGTCACAGCAATCCGGCTTTTAGTCTGTAGATATATAACATCTCTGGACAGCTTGCAATCGGATCCAAAAATGTCTTATAACGTACATTATCACTCATGGCAGGCAGGAAAAAAACATTCAAGACCTTTGTTCATTAGATTTTAGATTTAGTACCTTCAAATGCCTTTTAATGCTTTTCAAGACCTGCAGATACCCTGGCTAGGCCATCACCCACTTACCACACTGACAAAATTAGTCATGATCTGGGTGTTACAACTGGGCTAAACGTGTTACACAGTAATTCTCTTTGACTTTTCAGGTACTCTGTCACTGACAGGATTGAAAGCATCACTCACCCTGAAGCTTCTTCAGCACAGCTACCTCCATCTTCAACACCTGTTTGGGTTGCTGAGCGGACTCCACCTTCAAGGCAACAGTGGCCTGGCTCAGCTGATCCAAGACCTCGTAGATCTCCCCAAACCCACCTCCACCTATCTTCCTCAGCTGATGGGAAGGGATTAATTATTATCAACCCAAAATACAGATGTGGATAAATGACTGATCTTCATTCAGCTATCTGTGTTTTAGTGAAATGACACTTACCACTTTCCATCTGTCTCTGACCACGTCTGCCACTGACAGGATGTCTGTGTGCTCTCCAGCCCCACTCATCCTGAGTGCTCTCAGCTACAGCCTGCACCTGGCATCAGTGGCGCAAGCCCTTCACTAAAAACAGGGAACAGATTTTAAGACACACTTCAGCTTTCTATTTTATAACTACTGTATGCGGCGGAGCCTGCAGCTGATGGAATGCGAAACCATTCCTTGTTAGTGATTGTAGCGCAACATCTGGAGAATAACATTTAAAGGTTAGTTAGCCACACCTCACGTTCCAAGCCTCATAGAAGACGCTAACCAATGCTAGCTGGTGGTCCAGAAAACACAGCAGTTAGCATTGTCTGGTTTGTTTGACTCTGTGCCAAAACACTACCATGACTAGCGCAGCGGCGACCACTGGTAATATCTGGAGAATAACCGGTCGTTGACCGTTAGCGTCGCTGGTTGACCGTGTTCAACGCGGCAGCTCCGGTGGTCCTGTAAAACAAGCTAACTAGCATGTTTACTAACGATAACCACTGTGTAGCGAACCTCTCTCACCTCGCTCCGTTGCACCAGTGCGATCCCAGTTAGCATGTGAAATCCAAACAGCCCCCATGCTCCCGGTTTGGCTGGTCAATCAAAGCGATTGTTTATTTCAGAAATGAGGTAACGGTAACGGACCATAGCTGACGTTCGCTACAGTTAGCCAGTTAGCCTGCTAGTGGATGCGGACTGATGCCCCGTGCTCTGGCTCAGCGGCGGCGGGGGCGGCGGTGACGTCACAGCGGGACTGAACTCCTGCATCCTCCGCTGCTGCACCGACGGTGTGGAGCAGCACCGACTGAAAGGCACTGACAGATACCTAAATGTGGTCAATACTCTGTACATTAACACATAGCACAGGGGTGTGAGGCACCCACAGGTGACTGAATGTGGTGTCAGTGACGCAGTGGACAGGAAATAATAGTCGTACTGCATCAAAAATAAAGCAGCAATTGCGTAGCAAGGAATTTTGGTGCACCCATCAGCCCCCACACCCCCTGTCACCACCACAGCCCAAGCACTCGCATCGCATACAGCCGAGAGTGAAAGTTCATTGTTGACCTTGAAACAAGTTAGACGAAAAACAAATGACTGCGATTCTTACCGAGGCTATGCTCCCACAGACACCATGCTGTCTTCACATCATATTGTTTAAACAGCAATCATGAGCAGGCAAGTGGGAAAAAAACTATTTACCTCAGCCTCTTATTTTGATTCGGAGATAATGGGGTCTTCTGTCACCGGCTACATCTTCTACTTGGTGGAAAAAAACTACAAACATAATCAATAAACTGTAGAATTGCAGAATGGCTGCAAATGCACCATCGATGGCGGTTACAGTGTAGCAAAAATAAGCTACCTGATTTATTTTGCATTTATTTCCTTATTGTTTTGACGCAGTGGGAGATATTAATGTCAGTGAGTAGTGTGGATGGTATTGTTTGGAGAGTTTTTTTTGTGTTTTCCTGTGTATCTATACGATGAATATAATAATTTTTTTTTTCAACAAAATACTTGGACAATGTTACGTTAAACATAAAAAATCTTCATTTATGTGAACAGATGTAAACTTTTACAAAAAACATTAAGTATAATGTTGCCAGGGATTCAAAGTGACACTGTAAACTTTAATTTTTTAACCCTTAATGTATTTTTTTCTTTATTTCTTTATCTTTTTATTTTTAATTAAGTAAACTGAATTAGTTATTAACATATCCCTGTGTACCATTGAATGCACTGACAACTGTGAATAAATCACTGATACTGAAGTAAATTTTAAAATCTGATTATTCCCAGGAATGTTCTGATATGCTCTAATTCTTGTCCACATTAACTCGTAATCCTGAAGTCATAATTACGAGATAAGGTCTCCCTTTTTTTCTTTAGTGAATTCAGTGTATTTCTGTAGTAGGCTGATGAGGCCAGTAGAACTATACCTTATTCCTGACATTACCAAACCAGACACTCCCTACCTATCAGCATCACCTTGAGACTTTGCCCAAAAAGGAACCAGGCATGCACACAGATGTGTCTATATTCTTATGCAAAGATGGGTGCCTTATGTCAAAGTAACTGTTTTGATAGATGTTTTGTTTGAAAACTTCAATGTCTCACTAAACTTAAGTGGTGCAGCAGCACGACAAAAAGGAGAATATAGCCTACACATCAAGCAGATGAAGATTGTTAATCTATTGTTTGCATCCAGGTTAAGAATGAATGGTTTTCTCGATCAACCTTTTCAGAGTAAAGATCTTCCTGATTCAGATTTTCCTTAATTCTTTTGTTGATTTTGTTTACTAGACTATTTGCAGTAGAGATGTAATAACCAAAAGTGAAAATGTGAATATATACTGTACATATCTTTATATAAGGTAGGCTACCACATGTGAATTATTTTGGAATAGCCCTCCTCATAATCATTACCAAAAAGACAAACTTTGACAAATGTGGTATAAATAAATAAAAAACACCACAGGTTTGTAGCTACCACAGTGGACACATAGGTCATGGTGGTATTTTTGCTGAGAATATTAGGGTCCTGAAGTGCAGATAGTGGATTTTTATGAAGGCCAACACCAAGATCTTTTAGGCTTTGTGTCTTTAAATTTTAGGGTTTGTAGGCCGAGTACGAGGAAAATGAATAAATATATAAATACAACGATTAAACAGTTTATCCGAAAAGTATATTCCTGACAAAATCCAGCCATGTACAGAAACTCAGAGAAACTAGAGAAAGTATCATGGAATTTAACAAGGAACAATTATCTGAATTAATAGAACATTAAAAAAAAAAAAATGAAGTTATCTTCTAAATTATCGGGGGGGAAGAGACTGAATGCTGGACTGGATGACTAAAATCCTGGCTACGGCCCTCAACCCACCACAAACTGTTTCCGTGTGTTGAGCTGTGACTCCGCTTTCCGGTGCAGCCATGACAGCAAAACAAACGTACACGGATACAGCGATGGGAGTGGTCAGACAATCGGATTGGATAACAGGATGTGAGTTGAGCTGTTTTGGGGTGAGGCGGTGCGTTTGGGGGTGCACAACTTTCTGCGTGTTTGCGCAGTTTCGCGGCGTTTCACACACTGCGGATAGACCGAAACAGCGACCTTTAGACCGACGGGGCTCCGCAGCGCAGTGTTGAAATCAGCGGAAATACCAGCGCGGGCCGATGCACGGCAGCGTTTTCACACTTTCGCAGTCTTATGTGTGGTTTTACTCGTTGATGCGGGGAGAAAGTTGTGGACATGTTTTCCTGGAAGTGCACGGCTTTACGGACACACTGTGCAACATTGTAACTACGGTGTTAATGAGACTTTCCAGCTCGTGCGGACTTTGGAGTGTATATTTGTTCCTTTTGATTGTAAAGCCGCCTGTTCGCCATATTGTGCGCTGTGAAACTCGGGGGAAAGTTGTCAGAGTTATGACATTTGCTGCGCACAATCCCTTCATGGAGCTGCATGCAGTCGACTTTGATCGAAACCAAAGTGACTCCATGGAGCTGGCCATGGAGAGCTCTGTGCACCATTGAACAGGTATATACACTATGTTTAACTTCTGCTCACTAATCTGCTGTATTGCCTAACTGCACTCGACTCTTCAGGCGCTTCCTTATTGCTGATTTTTTTAACATAACATCACTGGCTATCGCTCGGGTGATTGCACGAGCCCCTTCGTTTCCTGTATTTCTTGTTATGCCAAATGGCAGCTAAACAGTAAGCGCCTCCTTGTTGCTTTTGGCTGACGCTTCAAAAACTTCTGCTTATAACATACCCTCTACACGCACCTGGACGTTTATATCGAAATATAGCCTTTTCTGAGCCTGAGCTCACTTCACCAGACGCGCTGTCTGATTCATTTCTACTCTTCTGATTGGGCTATTTGCTTGTGTAGGCCTCAGTTTCCTCTTTGCTGCAGACGAGTCAAAGCCGACTGAAAAGTTTGTGTGCTTGTCTTGAGACAAAAAGAAAGTGTCTAACCCCTCCTTTCTCTCATAAGGTCCTGCACCCTAAAGAGGATGAGAAGAATGGACAACAATCCTCAGATTTGATTCTGGAAGGAGGGTTGCGTGTTCCCCACCCTGCACTTTCCTTTGGGATTTATATTTCCTCCCAAATACCTCTGTGTACACAATTAAACAAAGAATTTCAAAACCACAGGCAGTGAAAACACACTAACTCCGTTTTGCACACTCATCAAGACTTAGAGCTCTGAATTATTTTCATACCTTCCAACATTAGTATGAGTCTTCCTCCTCAAGTTAATACTGACAAGAGCGGCAAGCATCGGGCTGCAGCCATGAAAGAGCCTGTGCAGCATTCAGGGGAGGTTTATTATGGTATGGCGCCTCCGGCTTTAGAGTCAAGCCACAGTGACTCTGCAAGCAGCTCTGGTGTTTATAACCCGGAGAAAGGGCCCCAAGGTGTACAGCACTATCAACAGACTACTCCAGTAAAGTGGATGCAGCAGGACTCCATACAGGCCCCTGGCTGGTCTCAGGAAGCCCCTGTGTCGGGCTGGGGTCAGAACTTTGGCCCCTATATGGGCGGAGTGAACGTCAGGAGTCAGATGGTGTTCCATAAAGGAGTCCATGAAGGCGTAGCTCTGCCGATGGGGGGAGAAAATCAACTGCCAGGGGGACCTGTTCAGGTTTATAGAGATGCCAGCCAGAGTCAAGCTCAGGGAAGGGGGCTTGAGTGGGAGCAGCACGGTGCGGCTGGAGTGCACCAGCTGCAAACCTATCAACACGGCCACAAAGGTGTGGAGATCCAGGGTCAGCCCCATGTGCCATCTCACACTTTGCAGGGGCCAATGCTGCAGCCCTTCCAGCCAACATTTAGGCCCAGCAAGCAACAATTCTCATCTGGTTATTACCCTGTTTTTCCGGCAAACAAGGCAATGCCAAACCTGACCTATGGTGAACAGCCTCAAACTCAACAACAGCTGCTACACCAGATGCAGCAGCAACAAATGCATCAACAACAGTTGCAGCAACAGCATCACCTTAAGCTGCAACAGCAGCAGCAGCAGCAGCAACAACAACATTTACAGCAACAGCAAATCCAACAGCAACAAATGCAACAGCAACAACTGCACCAGATGCAGCATCAGTATCACCAGCAACAGCTGCAAGAGCGACAGCAACAAATTCAGCAAATGCAACAACAGCAGCAGCAGCAGCAACTGCAACAACAAAATGTGCAACAGCAAGAAACAACACAACTACAGGTGCAGCCAAAACAGCAACAGACCCAAAACTTTGCAGCTTATCAGTCTCCTGAGCCTTGTACACCTGACACTGTGTCTAAAAAGGAAGATGTTCCATCTGCGGAGCTGCAGCAGGAACCAGAGGCTCAGACCTGTGACATGTCAGCCGTACCTGATACATGTCCCGAAAAGGTCGTAGCAAATCCCGCAGAGAGCTCAGATGCACAGCCGGCAGCCCCTCGGCGCTCGCGGCGCCTTTCCAGAGAAGGACAGTCCCCACTGGGTCCCCCTTCGACAAACATCTGGTCTCAAGCCTCCAAAGAGCCTCCACCATCACATAATGGAGTAGCAGGTGGACAGAGAGGAGGGGAAAGCCAAGTGACTACGGGAGGGGTCATCCAGATCACCAGCAGGAGGAGGAGGGCGTCCAAGGAGATCAACTTGGAGACGCTTGCGCATACGGCATCAGAAAGACAAAAAATTGTCAAGGTTAACAAATCACTCATTACTCTGGGGCTGTAGTTAATTTCCTTTTTTATTTATGGTCATTTTACAGAAAAACAGCAATTTAAATATTTGCTATAGGATCAATTCACTTGAGAAAGGTTGTCGGTGGGTGGCTAATCTGTGCAAGTGAGAGCAAAGTGTCTCATCTGGCGAAATTGGCAAGCAGCTGTACAAAGAGGAAGAACCGTGTTTCTATGCTGAACTTCCTTATGGTTTACAAAATCTTTTTCTTGGGCCTGTTTATTTGATTCCTACAGCTGTCGAGTCTCAGCCATAGCAAGCTGTCTTTAAAGTGTGCACAGTCCTTTTGTCATGCACCAATGTACTGGTGTAACCTGAAAAACGGCTATTATTATATAAGATCGCTCTTTTTGGATTTTAAAGATTGTTCATTTTTATCGCTGTGAGAAATATGAGACCCTAACCTTGTAATTCAGGATTTATAATGTTTATATTTTAAGGGGCACACCCGTGGAACTACCTTCTTTATTTTTTCCTTAGCAGCTCCATTAAACACGCACTAAATACAAAGTTACATTGAGTTTTCCTCAGTTTTTTTTTTTTTTGGGGGGTTACCAGGCTTGTTCGTAGGGTTTTGTGCAGAATGAGCATGATGGATACAGTTGGAGCAGCTGCATGTCTGCACACCTCCACATTCCTCAGGCTCTTTCCTAGTCATTCAGCAGAGCCAGGGAGGGGCCGAGCTGTCAACCTGCACAGCTACACTCCTATACTCAATAAAACACAACACGCACACACACCAACAGGTTTTAATATTGCTATTTCACAACCCAGACGGTGTTCACATTGTGCTTGGGCAAACCCAGACTTTGCTGTGGTTAGAGATGAG